ATGATGTCACGCCGCGTTTTTTTTTTTTTAATACTCTTTATAATCATTTAGTCTTTTTATCAGCATTCTTAGTTTAATCGTGGTATATTATTTCTACTTTTATTATTTCTCTTCTTTTTTGTTTATTCTTTGTTCTTATTCCTATTCTTGTCCTTATTCCCATCTCCTTCTCTTTCCCATATCTCCACCATTCTTCTTCTTCTTCTTCTTCTTCTTCTTCTTCTTCTTCTTCTTCTTCTTCTTCTTCTTCTTCTTCTTCTTCTTCTTCTTCTTTCTTCTTCCTCCTCCTTCCTCCTCCTCCCTCCTCCTTATCTTATTCTCATTTCTTATTTTTTAATTTGTTATTACTCTCATTCTTATCCCTTTTCTAGTTCTTAATTATTCTTACTCTCATTATCCATTTTTTTATCATATCTGTTTTATGATATGTATTCATTTCATTTTTCTTACTCTCTATCACCATTAAAACAAACTCATTTCACGATAATTTGATAATTCATAAGTTGGTGAAGGTAACCATTTCGCAATCAACAGGTGGACGATTATAATCATTTGATAACTGACACGCAGGCGATATAAAATAAAAAAATAATAATAAAAAAATAAAAAAAAAACATTCATCGTTCGAGTGCATGTGGCCTCATTGAATAAAAAGTGAAGAATTCTGTTGTCTTAAGCATGAGAGAAAAAGAGTCATGGGATCCTTCTCTCGACCACCCCGTTTGAAGCGCGATGCGTAGAATGATAAATGTATAGAGAATAAAAACGTAAATCGAATCAGTAAGGAAATGGGTGAAAGATTTTTTTTTAGGATGATTAATGAAATGAATAGATCAATAATGAAATAAATAGATAAATAATTGAAATATAAATAGATAAATAATGAAATAAATAATAATAAATAATAGATAAATAAAATTAATAATGAAATATGTGAAAATTTTTTTTTTTTTATGAAATACAACCAAGGGATTAAAACGATAATCAAAACAAATGAATAATCAAAAATAAATCAATAAAAAGTTTCTCAAACATGGCGGCTGACTCCCAGGGTCGGAATGCAGCAGATGGCACCCGAGGTGGCACTAGAGCCTCGGGGCCGCGTCTTGGCCACATGGCACTCGAGGGCGACAACTGAGACGTCAGATCTTACCGGGGCTGACCTTTGGCAAGTCTTGGCGGCCTTGTTGGGGGAAAGGTCGCCAGGGAAGGTATGCCCCACAGCTGTCAAGGGTGCGGAGGGGGGAGGGAGGGGGAGAGGGGAGTCGGGAGGAAAAGAGAGAGGGGTGGGGGTGGGGAGGCGGAGGCGGAGGAGATGAAAAGAGAGAGGGTGGGCGGGGGTGGGGGAGGCGGAGGCGGAGGGAAGAGAAGGGAGGCGGAGGAGATGAAAAGAGAGAGGGTGGGCGGGGGTGAGGGAGGCGAAGGGGAGAGAAGAGAAGGGAGGCGGAGGAGATGAAAAGAGAGAGGGTGGCGGGGTGATGGAGGCGGGGGGAGAGGAGGAGGCGGAGGAGATGAAGAGGGAAGGTAAGGATGGGGAGAGGGGAGGCGGAGGAGATGAAAAAGGAGAGGGAAAGGGATGGGGAGGGGGAAGGGCGGTGGATGATGTGGGAGAGGGAAAGGATGGGGAGGAGGATGGGTGGAGGGACGAAGGGAGGGGGGCAGGAGGAAGAACGAGGAAAGGAGAAAATAATGGAGGTAGGGAGAGATGGAAGGCGA